ACCACTACTAACCTTCCAGTGCATACTTTAATACTTCTGATTAGCCTGAGGTTCTTGCCCACCTAATTGTTAGATCATATCCTCTGTCTCTAAGTGCTTTTTTACTGTTTACTCATGATCTTTTTCCTCTTTTTCACTTTGCTGAATTGTCGCTAAGGTTTTGTCTTTTGCTATCTGTTCTTTTTATCTGTTTCTCTCAAAAAAAATCATTCATTATGCAAATATATACTATTGATTCTATGCTGGTGATTTATAATGAACATCTCTAATTCCTTTGTCTTAGACTCCTGTTTGACCTGCTTATAGAACAATCAAGCAGCTTTTAGAACAGTGTCTTTCTTAAGGTATCAGAACTGGAAAGTTTTATCTTTATTTATAAATTAAGAATTTCCTTTCACCTTTCCTATTTTATCAGTGTCTATTCTGTGTCCTAGAGGTTGCCATCTATAGTGGTTTGGGGGATATTGTAAGGGTAACAATATAATACAGGACACATATTTTATAAGATTATTTATAATACTCACCCAAAGAATCATATACAAGAGAGTGCAAGAAATCTGTCCATACACTAAAGACTAAAGAAGAATCCAGCTGAGGGCCTGGATCCCGTGATAATGTCCTGCATGAGTTCATCTGAAGACCTATAGCCCATGAGAATGTCTCATGCAGGTCTGTTTCATGAATCTGCACTGGGAAGGCCCAAAGGTCAGTGATGGAATCTGGAAAGTCTGTGCCAGCATGATGAAGAATCTGTGCTAGCAGGCTGAGGGATCTACACTGGAGCCAGGAAACGATGCTCAAAATAAGAACCAGAGCTACCCCAAAAAGTACCGCACCCATCCTCAGCAACAGTGAGGTCCAGAGCTCCTCTGATGATCAGGACAGCCGAGTTCCCATCAGGAAAGCCAATGTGACAAGCTTCTGCAGGAGACTGAACAGTGCACCATCTTCCCCTCTGGAGCCAGGAAGCGATGCTCAGAGTGAGGACTAGAGCTCCCCCAAAGTGAACCAAAGTTATTCTTAGTGCCAACAAGGTCCCAAGCTCCTTGGATGATGAAAACAGCCTTCAAGAAAACCAACAGCTCCTTACAACTTCTCTCTGCTTTCAACAGGCTCCCAACAGCTTCTGCCAGTTCCCAACAGTCTTACTTCTTCCTCTCCAGTTCTGCCTCTTATGCTGCTGGCAGCAGTCTTCAGGTGGGCCTCCCACACCCAGCACCAC